TTAATGATCCAAAAAAGGCTTTGACTGAGACTGCGCAAGTCCGTAAGCAAGTATGGTTGAGATAATGAGATGTAAGCTTATAAGTGCGTAAGACGGGTTACGAAACCACCTATTCTAAGTGTTGTCTGTGTTTGCGTAAACGAATACGTCTAGTTTGATTGATGAGCTTAAGTTAACATGATAGAAAAGTGAGTGAAGTTAGAACCAGAATTGAGGGGAGAAGTTGAGTCGCCTTCTTTTGAATGGAGGCTCACCATTTTCTCTCTTTTCAATCCATCTGTCAAGCCTGAGTAGCTCTTACTCAACTTTCTATCAGCGTATTTCTTGATCAATTTATTTCAATAGCTCTACTCGTTTGAGATCATTCTATCTCCCGTCCAGTCTCTGGCCGGCATGTTCGCCCACCTCCGACCGTTTGACCCAGTTCTCATTACAAGCATTTTTGAGATCCTCTAGTTTTTGCTGAATGGGCCAACATGTCTGGTTAACATGAAGTTGACCACAGGAACACACTATTTTGTAACGGCCGGATCTCGATAATGGGTCGTATTTCTTTCTGAAATATGGCATAACCGAAGAAAGTAAGATCGTTTCCTTTAATATTATTTTATCCACCACATTCTCACTAGTTTGCCTATACTTTTAGAAAAATTATCTTTTAAATAATACACTGCAGGAAAGATTTAGGCGAAAAAGAAAACTAGTTCAGATGTCTTCAACATTACCAAAAGAAGGGGAAAAAGTCTAGTAGTATGTAATGTAAAAACCTTACTATTAGTAGTATTTATACGAAGCATAAGACATGAGTAAGGGTGAGAAAATGACAGCGAAAATAGTTTTATTCGAAAATACTACTGTCAAAGTTGATTCTAGTAAATGCTATAGAATAAACTGCGATGGATAAACAGTAAATTATGTGCCGAAATAATTTTCGCTCAGACAGCCAAACCAGTCAGCTGACGATATATGTTCACTGTACGAAGACATTCAATCACGATAAAAATATGTAGTGGAAAATTCATCTTCTCAGCTTTCGCTGCATTCATTTCAGCCATAAAACCATTCAACTATTAATTGTCTCTGCATACTTACCAGCCTGGCCAGGAAAAAGTTGAGCATGCAAGCGACTCTGTCAACGAGCACTGCGTGCGTCAGCAGTCGCTTACAAACGACAGCCACTTGGCCAATGGCTGTGATGGTGTCCAGTCCAAGTGCAATATGGTAGCGCGCAAGACGCCCAGTGTGCATAAAGAGCGCTTCCTCCTCATCGGATGCAAGCCTATCATTTAAAAGAGCATAGATAAAAATAGATGGGAAAATTAAGATGATAGATTTTCGTTTAATCCAAGAATAAATAACCAATTTTCAGTTAAGACTGGTTGCATGCAAAGAAAAGTCGGATTATAGCTCAACAATTAGAAACCAAGGCAGTCCTTAAAGCATAAATTTGCTTCGCATGCAAGAATGATATCCTACTTTAATGAATTTCGTCCTATGAAAGACGAAAACTTGGCACGTTTTCACCGGAACAGAAGGAGATTGCCTAGGAAGCAGCGTCAAATCGTGCAGTAATGCCGATAGACAGCTGGCCAAGAGGAATTAACTTTACAATGTTTTCATTAAACACTTTCACTCGAAATTGAAGTGAACCAAACAATAATAAAACTATGGTTGGCGAGACTTTCATTTTGCGTGAAGGTGCATGAAGAAGCGATTCGAAGGTCGATATCACCAAAAGAGGGCGACTAAATCCCGTTTTGCTGCAGCCGTTTCGAGTTTATACGACGTTCAATTCGACGCAGTCCACGAAACTTCCTCCTTCGTTTCTAGTGAAAACGGGCTGAGCGTTCGTCCATCATTTGATGGACATCATCAGAGCTGGAAATCATTCATGTAAAAGTCATACGTTAACAAAGACTAAGTCAAGCGGACTTTCTGGCTTTTTTTTACCTCGTATATAGGCTCAATTAACATGAGACTTTTACAAGAATGAGTTCCAGCTCTGTGATGTTCATCATATGATGGACGAAAGCTCAGCCTGTTTCCACCCGAAGAGGTCTCGTGATCTGCCAAACGGCTGCAGTACAACGGGATACAACCATCTTCTTCTAGGAGATCGACCTTTGAATCTCCTCTTCATGCACTTTCATAAAAAATGAAAGTCTCCCCGACAATATTATCTCAGGAGATTCATCGAAACCCAGTTACTCTTCGTACCTACAATAATAAAACTAGTCAAATTGTATTACATACAAAATTAATAAAAAATATAAGAAATATATTTAAAAGGCGAAAAATTCGCATTTCTGATGAATTGATATAATTATACTAGTGATAAAAGAGCCTAAATAAAAGAATTCCCTAGGTCATTTTATTCTGCAAAAATATAAAATTATTATAGACAACATTGGTACAACCCTGATTCCAAACCTATTCGTCTTTGCCTATAACCAGTTATTCAAGTAGTCATGCTAATA